TATATGTATATATATATATATATTATAATAAATTAATAAATATAAATAAATAAGAATATTTAGATTTAATTTAAAAAAAAATGATTTACAATATAAGGTTATTTTTTCATTTTATAAAAAGTGATATATTATTACACATACATAAATATAATTTAGTTAATAAAAAGTTAATAAAAAAATTGCACAATAAACCTATAATATTAGGAATAGAATCTAGTTGTGATGACACAGGTTTTGGAATTATTGATAGCAATGGAAATATTTTAGGCGAATCAATTAATTCTCAATATTTAACTCATTTAAAGTAACTTATAATTATTAATAATTTCTTATATAATGTGTAATAAAATTATATATAATTTGATAATTTTTATATATTTTAGTTTTGGAGGAATAATTCCTACAATTGCAAGATCACTGCATATAAATAATATCACAAAAACTTGTGAAAATGTATTGAGAGCTGCAAATCTAAGAATAAAAGATATTGATGCAATAGCTACAACTGTAAAACCTGGTCTTCCTATGTCACTTAATATTGGAACACAATTTGGAAAATATTTAGCAAAAATTGGAGAAAAACCATTTATACCAATACATCATATGGAAGCTCATGCTTTAACAGCAAGAATAAATAAAAAGGTATGAAATACAATACAATTATAGAAAAATTATATAAAATACAAATGTTTTATTAGAAAAAAGAAGAAGATTAACAAGAAGATTGACATAATTTAATTTTTATATTATAGATTGATTTTCCATATCTTGTTTTATTAGTTTCTGGAGGTCACTGTTTATTAGCAATTGTTGAAAATGTAAATAAATTTTATTTACTTGGTACTAGTGTAAATAGTGCACCTGGTGATATTTTTGATAAGGTAAAGTATATATAATCTTTTATTATAAACATAATCTCCATTTTTAATTATATATTACTTTTTATATATCAAATATATATTTATAGGTTGCACGAAGATTAAAATTAAAAAATATTCCAGAATTTAGTACGTTAAATGGAGGCCAAGCTATAGAAATTGCAGCAAGTAAAGCTTCAAATGTTGATCAGTTTTTATTTCCATCTATAATGATGCAATTTCGAAATTGTAATTTTAGTTTTTCTGGATTATTAACTCTTTGTGAGAAATACATTAAATTAGAAGAGGAAAAATATAATATAGTTGCAGATATGATAATTCCTAATGTATATAATTTTTGTGCAGCATTTCAATTAGCTTTAATAACACACATTTGTCATAGAACTCAAAGAGCAATGGAATTTATTAATGAAATGTCATTATTTCCTGAAAATAAACGAACATTGGTATGTTAAAAATTAAAAATATTAGTATAATTTTCAATTTGGTATATTTATTTTTTTAATTTAGTATGTTTATTTTTTTTATTTTATTGAATAGGTTATTTCAGGAGGAGTTGCAAGTAATAATTTTCTAGCTAAAGCATTGAATATTGTAAGTACAGAATTAGGTTATACTTTTGTAAGAACTCCTTCTAAATTATGTACTGATAATGGAATAATGATAGCATGGAATGGAATAGAGAAATGGATACAAGATATAGATGTTATTAGAGATATAAATGAAATTGAAAAAATTAAAGTAGAAAAAATAGCCACACTTGGAGAAAATTGGATTAAAAAAGTAGAAGAAGCAAACTTAAAATGTAAATGGATAAAAATAAAGAAAAAACTTTTTTAAATTATTTAAAAAAATAATATGAAATATATTTATTATTATACTTAATAATATAATCTACAAAGTTTTTACTTTTTTAAATTGTTTATTGAAATAAGTTACACAAATATTGGCGCATATCTCTTTGTTTGTTGTTTTAATTTTGTATATAAATTATCTGCATTTAAATTAAAATTTTTAAGAGAAATATTTTCTTCATATTCATCAATAATTTGTCTAATTTTTATTTTTATTTTCTGTATTTCATTTACATCTTTTAAAATCAAAGAAGTTGTTAAAACATCATCAAATTGCAATGTTTTTGTTGGCTGTATTGATTTATCAAATTCTGGAAGGAATTTTGATAGATTATTTAATTTTGGTTTAATTTCATTATAGATTTCATCAGCTCCCTTTGTATCCATTTTATTTATTATAATCATTGCAGGTTTATCTAATAAATCAGGTTTATAAAGTTCAATTTCTTTATTCAATAAAAGAATGGTTTCTAGGCAAGATCTATGTTTGTGCCTTATAGAAACTTGACATCCTTGAATATCTACAATAAATAACAGTAATTTTGTTCTTTCTACATGTTTTAAAAATTTATGACCCATTCCTTTATTAATATGAGCATCTTCTATTAAACCTGGTAAATCCGCAATGGAAATCTGTCTATAGTCTTTATATTTTACAATGCCTATTTGTGGCTTTATTGTTGTGACTAAAAAAATTATATATAAGAAATAAAACTATATATATATATGTATATATAATAATATATTTTTAAAAATTACATGGATAATTAGCAATCTTTGGTTTTGCTTTTGAAATTGCATTTAAAAATGTACTCTTTCCTGCATTTGGAAAACCTATTAAACCAACATCAGCAAGTAACTGAAGATCAAGAATTATAGTGCGACTTTCACCTTTGAGTCCACAATATCCTGTTTGTTCACAGCCTCCTATTCCACCTTTAGCTATCATTAATTTTGTATCTTGTGAATTTATTTCTCCTATTTCATAAAACAATCTTGAATAATTAATGCTTCTCAATAAAATAAAAGTAATTTTATTATTATATTTTATTATTATATTTATTATATATATTATTTATTATTATATTATATATTACCAAGTTTAATGTGATTTTCATCATAAACAGTGATACCAATTGGTACACTTATATTTAAATCTTTTCCAGGTATTCCAATAAGACCTTTTTTGGAACTTTCACTTCCTTTTCCTGCTTTTAATTTCATATTATTTAATTTATATTTAACATTTTTTAATGTTAATTTTTTTTCTGGAATAAGATAAACATTTCCTCCCGGTCCACCTAACCCACCATAAGAAGGTAATCCTGAACCACCTGTACCTCCAGTTACATGAATACGCAAACTGTCAATTAAACCTTGTCGATTATATTTCCTTGTGTAATTGTGTAACTAAAGAATTAACCCATAAAATAATATATTCTATTATTATATTAATATTAATATATTATTAATATAATATATTATATTATATTAATATTAAATAAATAAGAAGTATTAAATATATACTTTTGCCGTACAACCTAAAACTCGTGTTAATATAACCATTCTTTTTTATTAAAAGTTACTGCATCGAATTTAGAAATGAATGTATATAAAAGTGTAAATTATTAATATCTAATTTTATAATAATTTTCTTGATATCATAATATTATTAAATTTAATTATAATATTAATTTACTTTGATAATATCGTAATTTATAAAATATATAAGAAAACATTCACAAGTAATGTATGGACAATTCACCAGATGGCATTAATAAATTCATATATTTAGATGATTACGTTCGA